CTGCTCGGCATTTTACGGAAAAAAGGGTTCCCTGTCTCTGTTTCCGTAACTGTGTGCCGTATTGAGATGCTGATCGTCGTGTGCACTTAGGTTCACTGCCTCAGTCTAGTGACGATTGCCCGGCAACTTGAGCTAAAAAGCGCTGAGCAGATCTGGCTGCTATCTGTTCGCCGTCATCGCGTGTCTCTTCTCAAAATATCGCACACAGAAGAGAATGGCGACTCCGTACCGAGTCAGGGAAGGAATGGAGGAAGATCTGAACAGTTTATGATTACATCGGCTTTTTTATAATGTGCAGGTAAATTTTGCATTGGAAAATATAACCTGCGAGAGAAAACAAGGAAAAACAGTTTTCGAGATGAATTTTAGGGCCTACAGAACATCTCATCTGGCGATTATGTCTCGGATTAACATCATCTTTTTCATCATCAATTTCTGCTGGACACACTACCTACCAAGTCGAAAACGGTATTAAATTTTTTTTTTTTTTTTTTTTTTTTTTATCTCCGGTGAATGACAAAGTTCTCCTTAGCTGTATTGGAAAAATTTTCTGTATGTCTCTGCGGGGTTTCAGGGTGAAAACAAATTCCAAGAAATTAACTGGTATTGTTTTCAAATTCTATTTCAATTTCCAGAGATTTTGATAGTTTTTTCAAATTCCTTGGTTGCCTTACAATCCGCTGGACAAAGCCATATCAACATCTCAAGTTTTTCTTTCTGGTTTTTGACAATAATGTCCATTATTTTTCTGTCTTATTATAATCCCATAGAATGGTGACATCTTCTTTTCTGTTATTATGTTCATACCAGTGTTATTATTATTGTTAAGTATTATTATTATTATTATTATTATTATTGTTGTTGTTGTTGTGGTGGTTGTGATTGTTGTTGTTGTTGATGTTGTCATCTTCCTCATCTCTTCGTCTGTTTATTGTTGACGATATGCAATAACACAAGTGATGGCTGTTGATAATGATGTCTTTCACGCGGAAACAAGTGACAGCAAGTCTTCTTGAAAATCTACTTTTCACCTCAGCATCTAAATATCTTCGTTTTGTTCTTGTTGTCGTTCTATTATTATTATTATTATTATTATTATTATTATTATTATTATTATTCGCTCACCGAGTGCTCGAACCTGTTGTAACTGAGATCAAGTGACAGTAAATGTTCTTCATAAAGCAGCAACCTTGCAATTATCAAGCCCCTTTAAAAAAAATGCTATCGTTTGGATGGCTCCAAATTTGATTATTATTGAATTATCATACGAATGCTATCGGGTGGTTCTTGCTGCAGATCAAGTGACATTAAGCCTAATCAACTGAAGTATCCAGCATTCTTTTCAGTATTCTTGACAATTTTGTTCTCTGATTAATTTTAATTATTCATCGGATTTCCAATACATCCAGTTTTTTCCAGTCACTAAGAGTCTATTTCAAGTGCGCTGATAATGATAGGCACAACTGTCACCTTCATATTTACTCTCTCTCTCTCTCTCTCTCACCCACTTTCTCTGTATATATATATATATATATATATATATAATATGTGTGTGTGTGTGTGTGTGTGTGTGTGTGTGTGTGTGTGTGTGTGTGTGTGTGTGTGCAAAAAAATAGGAAAGAACACGTTTGGTAAATAATCCGGAGTTATTTAGTATTTTTGTATTTAATTTTAAAAAACAAATCCATACAAAGTATAGCTTAAATTTTTTTTTATTTTTATATATATATATATATATATATATATATATATATATATATATATATATATATATATATAAATATTCAAACACAGTTATGAAAATACAAAAAACTTTTAAAAATAATATATTCTAAGGCCAGGAGAAATTTTGAATAAAATTGATGAATAGATAACTAGACCAACAAAATTCAATAGATTGATAGATAGATAGATAGATAGATAGAAATAAACATGGCTAGATAGATATAAATAAATAAATTGAGATAGATACATACATAGATAGATAGACACATAAATAGACTGAGATAGATAGATAGATAGATAGATAGATAGATAGATAGATAGATAGATAGATAGATATACTGAAAGAAAGAAAGAAAGAAAGAAAGAAAGAGGCTGTGATAAAAATAAGAAAATAAAAGAAACTAAGATCACAGCCATTTTACATAGATATTATTAGTAGTAGTAGTATTTTTTATTTCTTTTGATATTTGGTGTACACTCATTTTGTCCGGGTTTCTACCAGAGATCAGAAAATGACTTCATGACATTTTCCACTGAGCATTTTTTGAGAAAAAAAATAAGGTCACACACATTTTACATAGATAAAGACCTTCGTAAGGTATCATCTGTACTTGTGAGCACATTTTTTTTATATTTTTGTAAGGCTTTGGCTACCAGGAATCCCTTCAATGACTACATTGGAATCTTTTCCAATCAATCTGAGGGCTCAAACTACAACTGGAATTATTGATGTCCTCCCATGCCACATTTTTGAGATTTCGACTTTAAGGTCTTTGTAGTTTTCTTTTGAAGATCTTCAAAGATACATTGTAATCCGCAGGAATTCCCATGTTAATAAGAAAGCACATTCTATTTTTGTGGTCTTTGATCACGATGTCTGAACGATTAGCTTTGGTTGTTCTGTCTGTGTGCATAGTAAGGCCCCATAAAATTGTTACAGGTCCTATTTTGTAACCGGGTCTGGTTTCTTTCAGTTACCTTCCCGTAAAAGTAGCATATTTTCCAGTGCAGATATTGGCCCAATCTCTTATGCCGGGTTTTATATTCAGTGGGTGCCAATACCATCCAACCTGATACAAGATGATCAATTGTTTCTGGATATTTATCACAGAATCTGCATTTTATATATATATCAATATTCAGTATTGGCAATTCCTAGTTATTTAATATTGGTCCCGTGCATAAAATCCAATTAACCCTTTTCCCTTTTAACTATGTATCCACTGCTGGGTACGGGGTTTGTCTAAATCAGCTTGTTGTGGTACGGGTAGAATATTAAAGAGGTTTATCCTGCCATCGTTTCTGTATCTAGTCGGTTGCATTTATCTTTGATTTCTTTAAGATTTTTACCGCTGCAGTAGGTTTATTATTTTTTACTTGCATTTCTTCACCCACTTGAAATTCCATTTTGATCTTGTTGGCTTCCTTTATTACTGAGTAAAGTCGCCAGATGTATTTTTGCTTTTTTTTAAATAACGTCTATCTGTCTCTAGTGTATATTTGTATATATATATATCTATGCGTTAGTGTGTTTATATATATATATCTGTGTGTTTATGTGCTGACTGATATCATATTTCCTCAACATTACGCCAGTCACACTCCTCATCTCAATTCTCCAGTCGACGACCGATTTTTAGGTCGAGTTAAATTTAATTTTCCCTTTTTCCAGAGATACATTCCACTAAAAAACCTTATGTTGTATGGAATAAATTATGTCATTTGAAAATAAAATAGTTAAAATAAAAATGTGTTCTTTGAAATACAGGGCATTTGCTCATTAGAATTTTAAAACAAATTATTTATAAAATTAAAGCAAAAAATACATTTGCTTATTAAAATGTCTCTAGTTCTGATAAATACTAAGACTTATGAAAACTAGTCATATTAATTTTATTTCATTCTTTTTTTCATTTTTAAAACCTTTCGTAAAAAATGGGTTTCTAAATTAACGGTCAATTTCTTTTTTTATTTATTTAAGGCATTGGCTTATTAGGGATTTAACATATTTTTTCTATTATAATATTCTCCAATCAATTTAGGCTTCAAATATAACAGAATTTGAAATGTCCTCATATATTTTTTTGAGATTTTGATTTCCAAATTGTCCTTGTATTTTGATAGTTCTTTATAAGATATTTAACGATACATTACTGTCGGCAGGGACTGCTAGGTCAATAAAGAGGTACTTTTTGTTTTTACTATCTCTGGTCACGATGTCTGGGTGATTAGTTTTGATTGTTCTGTCTGTGTGTATTGTGTAGTTCCATAATATTGTTACAGGTCATATCTCCGTAACCTGATATTATTATTATTATTATTATTATTATTATTATTATTACTAAACCGAGTATTTCCTTCCCAAGAAAATAAATTTGGTTTAAACCGAAATTAATTTGAAAATTGAAGAAAAGAGCCTTAAAAGTGAACATTGTAAATACCGACTATTTACTTTGCTTTACTTGGTACTGTTGATGTGATGATGGCTGGTGCAAAGTAGCAAATCCAATGCAGAAAATAAACGTTCATTTGGGAAACAAATACTTTGACTGTCGTGCCTATAAACTTGAGAGACCCAGGAACCATCAACCAATCTAGCTCAGCAGTTGCCTTTTAAAAAAATTAAAAATATGATATTTTACCCGTTCATACCCGCTTTATAGAAATGTAGATTTTGAGGATTGAAAAAAGAAACATTCTTCTTCTTCTTCTTCTTCTTCTTCTTCTTCTTCTTCTTCTTCTTCTTCTATTATTATTATTATTATTATTATTCATTCATTCATTCACTGAGTGTTCACACCTGTGATAACTAAGTAAATAAATCGAATACTCATTGATTTATATGAATAGATAGATAGATAGATAGATAGATAGATAGATAGATGAATTTAATCGAATAGATAGATATTTAATATAGATAGATTTTAGATAATAGATATGATAAATTTCGTATAAATAAAAACAAAGTGTTTAAGAAAGAAAGAAGAAAAATTCAAATTTATCAGATATTTTACCTTTCACCAAAACGATGGAAAATACAATTTCAAAACCGTAGAATTTGATAACTGAATTCTTAAAAATAAGAAAAATTCTTTTGCCAAATTTAATTAATAGTTTTGGGTTCTATATCATCTTTGGAAAACCAACATTTGTGGTATAGACTAATGTTGTTGTCGATGATGGCAGAAATTATTTTATCTTCATCCTCAAGTTTGATTTCCTGAGGAAATTAGTTTTTTTCGCGTAAAATTGAATTAACAGAATAACCATCTTCGATGCTCTTCAGTGTTCCTGGTCTGCTTTTTGCTCCAAGTCTTTTACCAGAGACCTGTCACACATGGAAGGTTTTACCGAAAAAGATTTGACCGTATTAAATTAAGTGGAATTTTTGTTGTTAATACGTGAGCAATGCTCATAAACACAATATTTCTCGTCTAATATGTTTAGGACTTCCCTGTGATTTTCTTAACATATATACATATATACATATATGTATATGAAAAACGAACACCCTCTCGTTCAAATCTTCCCCAAAGTTCATATCAAAAGATTTTCCAGAATCGAATCACAAAATAATTTCTGAGCAATAAATGGATTTTTTTTTTGATCTGACTTTATTTCCTACTAATCCAAACAGTACTTTGTGAATATCCATGTTTGAGGAGACGACCTTTTTATGTAAACAGGAAAATTACTTCTATCGGCCTTCGCATTGTAGGGGAAACCACTTTCTGATCAAGCGCGTTTTAAACCGCTCGGCCACAGAGGTCTACATAGCCCAGCAACTTTCAAACATCATTTCTAAGGAATGCGCATACTATCATTTCAACTTTCTTTAAAGAAATAATGTTTGGGCCTTAATAAAGAAATTGTGCTATTCGCCAGGCCGGCAGACTAATTTACAATGTTTAAAAAAACACAATTGAATTGGAAGATTCTTGACAGAAAAAATGTGTATTGGGCAGCGATTACGTTTTTATAAAAGTTTCATTAAAGATGACTGACAAAATATTGCGATTAATTTTTTTATAATTTTTTTCTAAATATATATATATATATATATATATATAAAATTAAGAAAAATATTTTTTTTTATTTTTATTTAAACACGGTCATTTTTGACCGTGTTCATTTAAAAATATTAGATGGTTTTTTTTTTTTTATTATTAATAAAATATTATTTGTATCCTTTTTTACAGATGGTTTATTGGTTCTTAAAAGTTGTATTTTCTACGATCTTTATTTATATATATATATATATATATATATATATATATATATATATATAGAAAATAAATATACGAAAAAAAAAAATCCTAATATGCAATTATGCTGTTTTAATGTTAATATAATGTCAACGTCGGACGTTTTCGGTCTAATAGACCATCTTCAGGACATATTCATAAAACATAATTAACATTAGACTATATTCAATTCAACATGAAAAGACGATGGACATAAGAGTAAGACTAATCAAAACAGACAACTGAAATTTTTTAAGATCAGCGTTCCGTTTTCAATATGATCACGTCGGCGTCACGTGGGCGATGTTGTGAAAATCGTATTCCTAAAATAGAGTATTTTGAATGAAAAATGAAAAAAATTTCATTTTAATCTAAAACTTATATGTACGTTTGTCGAGCATTAATCTTGCTAGAAAAGGGAAATATTAAAGCCAGGTCTAGTGTTCACCGTGCGTGAGATAGATATTATGCCTGCCTCATCTTACTCTTAGGTCCATCGTCTTTTCATGTAGAATTAAATATAGTCTAATGTTAATTATGTTTTATGAATATGTCCTGAAGATGGTCTATTAGACCAGAAACGTCCGACGTTGACATTATATTAACATTAAAACAGCATAATTGCATATATATATATATATATATATATATATATATATATATATATATATATATATATATATATATATATATATAAAATACAAAATTGCCTCATATGGCGGGGATAGATCTATTTCAACCGACGAAAACTACATCAGTCTTATTCAACCCCGATGTACAGAGTCTGTACGCCGGTGTAACTTTTCGTCTGTTGAAATAGATAGAAAAATATATATTTAATTTTGATTTTGTAATAATATATTTATTAAACTGTCATAATAAAGAACAGTAAGATATATAATCCGGTGTTCTTATTGATATTATTTATTTTTATAAAACAGTGCTCAATATAAATTTACAGAGCATATTATAAATTAACTGATTTAAAATATTTAAAATATTTTTTCGCTACACAGTATTAACCATGTTTCAAAAACTGAAGGTAAAAACTTCAAATTTAATTATATAATTAAATTAAAAGCATTAGTTCTGTTTCATCTTCAAGCGAATTTTGGAATACAAAAAATTTTTTAAAGCTCAGAATCTAAAGAAAAAAACCTCCAAAACGAGTAAAGCAAAAGTAAGTACGTAAAGTGCTCAATACACTAAATAGAGCAAACCTAAATATGAACCTAAAGAGCCAGGTAAACCTACCTAGGTTTCACCTACACGAGATCGTCAGGGTAAACCTAGAATAGGTTTACCTGGCTCTTTAGGTTCATATATATATATATATATATATATATATATATATATACATTACATACATATATATATATATATATATATATATATATATATATATATATATATATATATATATATTCTTATCAAAATCTTTCCTTTCCCCATAATAACCAGCTGGAATGATATTCATATTATGACCGATCTTTACTCTTTATTTACGATGTTTGTATCTACTTTCCTTATCCGGAACGAGGGTTACATTTTAATTTTAGTAACATCAAAGCAAAAACAGTTCTGCTTTTTGTTAAAGCGACTTATCCGCATAGTCAGTTATTTGCACAGTTGTCAGTCGATCGCCGTTCCTACCCAGTCATGCCTAATTTTGTGCTCAGCTCTGATTTCAATTGTTACATTCTCTAATAATTTGAATTTTTTTTTTTGTCTCTGTCTTGCAATTTTGTTTTGTTTTCACGATTGGACTTTCATTAATGCTTTACATGCATTTGCCTCTTCGCACCAAATTCTGGGTGGTTATCGCCAGTGACTGAGTGACAAAAATTCACCACAAATCCCCAGCACCTTTCCCCGTATCAATGGCGTGGTCTTAGGCGGTTTCTTATTCAACTTCTGTTTAGATTTTTACATCATTTTAGTATTTAGTAAGTCTATGGATCAAGTGACAACAAGTCTCCTTATTCTGAATATTCTTGTAGATTTCATTAATTCTATAATTTGAATTAAAAGTTTCAAATAACTTTCTCTGAGTCTGTCTGTCTGTCTGTCTGTCTCTGTCTGTCTGTCTGTCTGTCTGTCTGTCTGTCTCTCTTTCTCTCTCTCTCTCTCTCTGTGTGCGTGTATGTGTGTGTGTGTGTGCGTGTGTGTTCATTTTTTTCAGTTATCCACTTTATTTTTAAAGGTCTTCGGGGATATTCCAAGTGCTCCAGTACCTATGGGCACTGTTGTCATCTTCATATTCCACATTTTTTTATTTATTTATCAAAGATCAGATATTTATCCCTCTTTTTCTATCCCTCACCCCGTCATTCTCTCCCACTATCTATCCCCTCACTTTATATCTATCTCTCTCTTTCTCTTTCTCTCTCACTATCTCCCTCACGCTTTATATCTCTGTCTTTTTCTTTCATTATCTACCTATTCGCTTTATCCTCTCTCCCTCTCTCTCTCTATCTATCTATCTATCTATCTATCTATCTATCTATCTATCTCTCTTCGGGTTTACGTCCATATCACGCTGAAACAACGGTTCCCGTATGATCATCGAAGCTAAACAACTTCAAGCCTCGTCAGTATATGAATCGGTAACCGCTTGGGAATAGCAAGTGTTGTAATTTGGGATGTGCGGATGGTGTAATGAATAATGGGAGGGGGGGGCGATTGGGCGTTCGTTATATTCACTTTCATGCAAATAACCTTTAGGAAAGGTGTGAATCCTCCTCTTCACCCAACACCCATCTATCTATCTATCTATCTATCTATCTATCTATCTATCTATCTATCTATCTATCTATCTATCACGGGTTGTTCATTATCTATCTATCTATCTATCTATCTATCTATCTATCTATCTATCTATCTATCACAGGTTGTTCATTATCTATCTATCTATCTATCTATCTATCTATCTATCTATCACAGGTTGTTCATTATCTATCTATCTATCTATCTATCTATCTATCTATCTATCTATCTATCTATCTATCTATCTATTGTTTTATCTCTCTGGCCGAACTTGGAGAAACTTAGTCGTACTAGTAGTAGTACTAGTAAAGATATTACTGTTGCTATTTGCGATTGTTCATTTTTGTTGTTGTTGTTGATGATGATGATGATGATGATGAGATTTAGTTTATAAAATGTGACATCTCATCATTTTCTATAAAGTAAATTCTTAATCCGCTTCAGTAAAGAAGTTTATTTTTAAATATTCACACACACGCACACACACACACACATCGATGCTTTTTTTATTCAAATTGTGTTTCTTGACGTAAAGAAAGAGATTATTTTCACACTAAATGACTCAAGCAATAATGAATAAAAGAAAAAAAACACTAAATTCGAAAAAGAAAAAAATATATAATTTTAAAATTTAAAATTACATTTTGATTTTTTCTTTTCGAATTTAGTGTTTCTTTTTCTTTAAAACAATTTGAATGAAAAAAAAACGTATTTGTTGTGCTCACCTTGATGTGTGTGCATGTGCGCGTGAGTATGTGTGTGTATGTGTGTATATGTGTGTGTATATAAAAGATTTCCCATCGCATCATAACTGTGTGAAACTGTCAATATGTGGGTTTATTATTAATTCACCTATAAATTCTATCGTGTTCTTTTTTCGTTGCCCAAATAATAACAGAATTTCTCAAATTTCACCCCCACATTTTAAGCGTTCCTTCTATTTTTTGTCCATTAAAAAAATGACAATGATCGCCGCCAATGATGGTCTCTTAATTTCCTTATTGTTATTTAGCGTTGTTCAATTATGACATGAGTCCACAAATACAGATAGGATCGAACTCATTACTAATGACCTAGAAGTTTAGATTGTTGACCATTACACAATGATGAGGTACCCCCGTAAAACTCCTTATTGATTTGAAATGTTTCAATGATGACTGACGAAAACGTCGAAACAGTATTATAATATATCGTGAAGAAGCGTGTATCAATAAATATCAAATTTTTTTTTGTATTTTTAATATGAAATTAATGTCTACTAGCCTACAGATCAAAAGCCTTACCAAGGAACAGTAGCCACCCGGCGGGAATTGGAACAGTTCTCCTTTTGTAACTGTCCAAAGAATTTTTTCAAGTACTTTCGACCGTCTCATTCATTATCAAGAAGAGGGGCGATTCGAATTTATCCAAAATGACGTTGTATGGGAAACGGTTACAAGCAGCTACACCACACTCGCATTTGTTTGAATTCAGGTTTTTGTGGCGATGGGGCGGGGGTCTTTTACTTTGGTTTTCAAGGAGCAGTAATGTTTTTCTTTCCGTAACAGCATGGCGTACGCAAGAAACAAAAGATTATGAAATCGTCGGTCCCTTATTTATAAAATTGTGATTAGTCTGGCATAAGGCCATACACTACTTTCAGTAGCCGGCGTTCCTATTTTAACATTCTCTGGTCAGTTTAAAAAGAAATATTTCGTTTAGTCCTCGAATTTGGGAAGAATATTTTACAGGAATATAAATTAGAGAAACACGTTGGTTGAAGCCCTGCGGTGGGGTATTGTCAAAATTTAGAGCGAGACTCGAACTAACAATAATCTTGTCATCATCGTTGTTTCGAACACAACATTTCGATCGATAGACTTTCCTGCCTTCATCAAGTACATACACTTTTTCACACACTTTTATTCATAAATATAGCATGTCTTAAAACTCTATTTTTGTCATGGCAGTGAGATCGAAGTGGGAAGACCAGACTGAATGCAACCCCAACTCCACCGAAGACCCCTAAACGGCGGAATAGGCAAAGATCTAGACGATTTCAATTGCCTAACCGGCAAAAGAAGATAGCGCCATTCGGGCTGGTGTAACCAATCCAGACCTTGACAGACCAAGCATCCGGCATAACGATGCAACCATGTTTGCCAGATCTCGCCTGTCTCAATCTCTTTTGATCCGCGAGGAAGGTTCTTCTGGCCAAATAGGTTGGGGAGGGGGGGGGCTTCTCCGTCGCGCAGAGTTGTCTATCAAAATCAAATTCACACGAATGGCATCGTCAAACCTTCTTTGATTCCCAGCCATCTCCGCCACCCGTCACCAGAAGAGAGAAAGGGAATAGGGAGTAAGGATGATGATCACGATGATTGGATGCGAGCGGGTGCCGACAATATTGAACAATAATAAATATTAAAAAATTAAAATCTTCAGACACACTGGGTTGTATCTTAATATTCTTGGGTTTTGAAATCATGTTTTTCCAGTCGGAACTGTTGTTCTACAGGTAATAATCTTTCATGGGGAGTCAACTTAATTCGATTGCGATAATTATTAATTCTGTAGTGAAAGGGTCATTCAGATTTTTCATACATATTGTTTCTGGCATAGTGTGCATTCTAGGAGGTAAATTATGTTATGACTTCTACTGTTAGAATCGTGGTAGATTTTGAAAGTGACTAAGTTAGTGAATGAATTCGTGTCTAATTTGGTTGCAGCATAAGCTTCTTTTGTTGTTACATGGTTGGGAAAATCCTGTTGTTTTTGTTGTTGGTTTATTACGGATTACCTTGTCCCGTGAAATTTGGTTACTACCTATGATTTCTTTTAGGTTCTTAAGTCTACGATATGGATATATATATATATATATATATATATATATATATATATATATATATATATATATACATATATATATTATATATATATATTTCATTAATCATTTCCATTGTCTTTATTATCATCTGGGTGTGGTCGTGGAGTTTATGAGCAGCTGAACACGAGGTTAAAAACCGAAGAGATATTCATTCATGCGTACTATGTTTTGGGCGATTAGACCTCAAAGGCAGTAGGTGTATGATTTGATAACCGTTAACGTCTACTGTGCGTTGTATGAGAGTAAATTCCAGTGGTACAGAATTCAGGTTCGAGTTTAGCTCAAAGAGAGTTCTTTGTTCACAGTTCTAGCGATTTAATTGGGGCATTTTACAATGTATTCGTCAAAAAAGTGGCGATAAAAACGTCAAAAAAAGATGAAGCGACTTGACAAAAATAGACGAGGTGCATTTTAGAAGTTTTGAAACATTTTTTGAAGTGGCAATTATAACTTTCATAAATTATTGCCATTTTAGTATATAATTATGATACATCTACTAAGTTGACTAACCAATTTTTGTTATTCCAGACTGAAGAGGATAGTTTTAAAAGCCTCTTTGAACACACCCTTCTAATCATTGTGACAGCGGAAAAAGTTTGCAGAATTCAGTCTGATCGTGTAGACAATTTGGAAGCTAGCTATGCAATAAAGTATTGTGTTAAACTGGACAAAAAGGCGACGGAAATAAATAGAATGTTCAAGACTACTGATGAGTTAATTTGTATGAGTCAAGCATCTGATCAAGAAGTTCAAGGACGGTAAAGAGGACGTGAAAGACGATGAACGATGTGAGAGAGAGACAATGGCGGACGTGGGTTTTATAACATCAGAGCTGGTTGAGAAAATTCGCAATTTTCTAGATGAAGATCGTTATGTGTCTCTAAAGACAATAAGAATATGGTTTGGAATCGGTATGGCAATTGTACACAGAATTCTTCATGAAGATCTGAACATGCGCAAAATCTATGCAAAGTTTGCACAATGACGAAAGAAGGAAAGATGCGCTGATGACAGCAGGGTGATGGTTGATGGTCATGAAATCTGTCTCTCAACCTCCCTACAGTCCAGACCTTGCTCCCCGTGACTTTTTGGTTGTTCCTTAAACTGAAGGCTCTCAGAAGCAGTCGTTTTGAAGACATTGAGAAAATAAAGGAAACTGTGACAAGTGTCCTGGACACCTTCATTTTGGATAACTTCAATGGGGGCCTTCACGACAACGACGCTACGACAAGGGCATTGAAGTCAGAGGATCCGTCTTTAACGGACATTAGAGATTTATACTTCCTTGAAACTAATAAATGTCTCTCCAGAAAAAAAATCTCAAAACTTCTGGAATACACTTCGTACGTAACAAATACTCACAAGATTCCCAGATGCAAGATACACCAGAATAAGGCCGAAGAATGTATCGGCTGATGAATTTACAAATACGGTTTCTGATTCCTTATAATATCTGCTTCAACGCTATACTTCTAATATCTCCGCCTAAAACTCTGAATTCTTATTTACTATTCACCTACATTTTTCCATCAAAAGTAGTAGATAGGTCCGCTTATCGTATGGTTCACCCTCCTCCCCGATCTTTGAATGGGGGTAGCGGTGTATCCCGTGTTTCCTGTTTAGGATTGTGCTTCCGGTTTCCTCTAAAGTCTTTTTTTTTTTTTCTTTTACTTCCGGTGGCCTCTTGTATCTTGGTGGCATTATCACCGTGTTTAGAACGAGGCCCTTACTCAGTAACACTCTACCTCGAGTGGCTCTTGGACCTTTTACGGGGTGAACATCATTGTAAAAGTTTGTGTCTTTCTACAGTAGCCAGACGTCGATGTTCTACGACGTGGGTGGGGGCTCAAAGTTCCTTCCCCCTACACACACACTTTCTAAACTTTGACCAAATTATCAAACTTTCTTTAAGGTTTTCTTGATTGAAACGTTCAAGACCTTGTCTTAATGAAGTTAAAATCAGAATTTTGAATGCTTATACAAAGGCAAACAAACTCACTTTCCCTTTCCCCACACATAGTTTTATAACATAATTAGTTCAATGAATTTCAATCTAGAAACCGATATTTGTTTTTAATTTGAAAACATTCCCTTTTAAAATGACCAAATAAAATGTTGCTTAACTTCTTTTAACTCCAATAATATTGCACATGTAAATAATCTAGATTTTCTTTTACTTACAGGAGTCGGCGATCAATGGAACCAAAGATGTGGCGACATTAGCACCGTCTGTAGAAAGTGAGTCTCTTTTTTAATTCTTGAAAATCAAGAGGGAGTAAAAACTGTTTCTGAAGACAGTTCTGCTCCAAAGAAGGAATTTTAAGTTCCACTGAATAAGAATTGGAAATACTGAATCCATTTTTGTTGTAGAGTAGTTTTCACAGTGGAGGCTTGTATTTCACTAAGTCGTCCTAAATTA